ACAGTGTTATGTCTATGGATACATAACACAGCCTGAACATGATTTGTATTTCCAATAAGTCTCATTTTTTTGGTACCAGGGTACTGCAGTAAACTCACAAATGCTGGAATATGGGAATAGAAATACAACGTGCCCTCTTTACAGATCTAGGCCTTCTGACTTTGAAATGTTGGTAACTAATTACTGAATTGAAATAAAGGAAAAATATCAACAAACGCCTTGTGACGATCGCAGACCAAGACTACATCTATCTGTCTATACACTTATATATACATGGAACAAGAGACTGGGAGAAGGGGTGATGTTAAACCATCACTCTGTTACTGCGTTAATTGATTAATACAATGTCAGACTGTAGCTTGAAAAATATGGCTTTGAAATAAACAGGTATAAATTAATTAGATATATAACTATTCACTAATTAGATTTATATACCGAATTTGAATATAACCGATATTACATATTCAAAAATTGTTTCAAGATTTATGGCAGTATGGGGAACGGGAATAGTTAAATATTTGATTTGGGCCAACCCAATTTACTGGTGCATGCTTTGAGTTTGTGAAATTATAAATGGAAATAAATTATTCATTATTAAAGTATAATGAAGTTTGGATATGCATACCCTCCTACTCCACAGTGGTTTCTCATTAGAAAACTGAAGAATCTAATTATGTAGACATGAACAAATTGTCAGCCGCAACACTGGACTATGAGAAATTCCAAGCTTAGGCTTCGACAAATTTGACATTCGTGGATTTACTAACGTAATATTTCAAGGAAGAGGAAGTATTTGAGGTTGGTTATAATGTTAATTTTTAAATTGCAAGAATAGATACTTTGTTATCTGCTTTGGTAATAAGTATTTGGGATGTCATTTTTAGTGAGTATTAAATGTTTCCATTTGAATATAATTCCAGGTACCACTTCCAAATGATCTACAAAATTTGGCAATATACCATAGAACATAGGTTCTCAAAGTGCTCCGTACGGAGCCCCAGGGCTCCGCGAGAAAACCCAGGGGCTCTGCGAGCTATTCCATTACTGTTCAAAATACTGACTCAAAATTTTGTGACTGTTCAAAGAAGCAATAACAGCTTTGATAAAATCTGACAACAATATAGCCTCGAAATATGGCAAAGAGGCGGAATCAGAAAAATAACATTATTTATGAGCATGAGCGCAGCCAGGATTCCTAAGAGGGAGGTGGTTCAAAATTGGAATCGGAAATTTCCGCGCAACATTCTTCGCACTTAAAAAAACGAATAACGAGATTTCTGTTGCGTAAAATATTCAATCCATGACCGATGCGAGCATTTAACGTGTCTCGTCGTTATGATGTAATTGTGCTCATCGTTACTCACATTTGATTCGAGATTACTATTAGGATTACTAAAATGAAAGAATACTATTCTAAAATAACATAAAATATGTGATAAACTGCCAACTATAAATAAATTGTAGTCGTATTTTTGCAATCTTGGGATTTGTCAAACTTGATTTGTTCTTTCGCATTCGAGATTATTTTAAGCAAGATATCGCGGTTTAAAATATCACAATGTCTGGGCAAAATACGAACAATTGAAATTTATTTTATTGCATTAGTCTCCGTCGGTAGTTTCGAAATAAAAAAAAGTACATCGCGGATCGCGCGCACAATTGATTGCGTGCGGTTACGTCGGTAGTTTCAGAATGGGAAAAAAAGGTACATCGCGCGCAAAATTGACTGTGTTTAGATTTCGCAGTTACTACGATGAAAACCTCACATAAAACCAAATTTTGGGATTTACAATGTCTATAAAAGCGTTTTAATCTGAGTTGAGTCTGCTGAAAGCAAACGTGTGACTTCCATTTTAAATTTCAGTTTTTTAAGATGTTTAAAACACGCCATGCTGACGAAAAAAATCGGCGATTGTAACAAAATGAAATCGCGCACGTTATTAGCAAATCCATAAATGCATGTTCCAAAAATGTCAAAAGAGAAAAGATTCGACCCCTAATTTATTAATACGTTCGCTAAGTATCAATTTTACAGCTTTAGTATAAAATTTAGATTTATTTATGACTTGTGTTAACCCTATTAAACGAAGGTTCAGCATTTAAAATTAGTAAAGTACTTTTAACTTGCTCAGGAATATTAATCTGAAAGTAACAATTTTAACATTTATTTTGGGGCTCCGCGAATAACATTCAACCTTACAAGGGCTCCGCAACACCAAAAGTTTGAGAACCCCTGCTAAAGAAAACTATGTATCGATTGATTGCCCACAAATTTTTGTCAAGTGAAGACTTAAAGAAAATATGAAAATTTATAGAGGTGATGAGATATTGTGAAGATCTTATAGAAGGTGGGATATTGTATTGAATGCTAGTATACATTATTAAATAATCCCAGACGTTGCAAAAACTTGGATTGGTTGGTTAAATACTGAAAAATTTTCGAAAATCGAATAATATTTTTAAATTTTGGCCTTTTTTGAATGAAACTTTTTGTACATTCCATTTTAGAATTGAAGATATAAAGAAGAAAATGTCCCGAGTTTGTGAAAGCAAATGGAGAGTGCAATACATTCATCATGGGAAAGACTAACCCGAAAAGACTTCCCACCTACCAAGACCATTCTCTTCTTAGATTTTAGGGACTGTCAACAGAGACTTGTTCAAAGTGGCTATAAAGGACACCCTGCAAGCAAAAACTTCTTCAACGAGAAGTTTATGTCTATTCCGCGTTCCTAACCTTTCACTATACAGTTTCTCATTTCATTTTTCAAACTTTTATAATTCATTTCACGTTTACATTTATTTTATAAATAAACATTTTTATCTAAAAAAGTCCGTGATTTTCATTGATAATGTCCTGTAAAATGTAATGTCGAAATTTTTACGGTAAGTTTTACCGGGTTTTGAAAGTAAATTCACCGGATTTGTCATGTAAATTCACAGGCTAGCGTCGGTAAATATTACTACGTATTGCCGGTTAAAATTAACGGATAAACCTGTAAGGATTACTAGGGATATCCTGTGAAATTCACAGGTGATCAACAGCAATTTTACCGAAATTCTAGTAATCTTTACTCTAAAATCACAATAAAATTTCACAACTACATTCCTGTAATTTGTAATGCCAGGCGATTACCGGTAAATATTTCTTGGAGTGTAAGTTTAATTAGGAATGAACAGGTCGAATATCGCGTGTATCTTGACTGAGAACAATCCTACAACCTTTGAGGTGTGCGAAAGTTAATGTTTCATTCAAAGATAATGTGATATATTTTATGCGCATCGGTATATCAGTGAATGCCTAATGTTTTTTTTTTCTTCTAATTTTAAGCCAGTGAAGTATCAAACCTGGACGGAACTGTTAATTATAGATACTGAAGTTTTATCATTCGTGTAAAACGTATGATTTGAAAATATTTATTGTCGTTGTTTAGATAATACATGGATATTTAGCAATATTTTTCAGGAATTTTCAACACTTACGACTAAACAGTAAGCAGGCCTTATATCTGATTTCGATCTCTTGAATAAGGATGAAACATTTGCTCTCACATAATCAAATTAACAAATTTAATAAAACATTCAAATTTTTATGGCGATTTCATAAAGAATGCTCCTAAAGAAACAAGCTTATTGACAGCGGTGTAATTTTTGTATGTATGTGTATAGTTATCTGCATATTCCGTATTCATTCGTTTATGTGTATGACCTAATTTACGATTAGTCGATCGCGTGCTAATTTGAAGATTTTAGTCGATTGCGGTGGAAGTCCTGATCTTGCGCGCCGTAACGCAACAATGAGAAATCGACAGCTTTACAGCCAAACTGTAAACGTCAAGCATTTCAAGACAATGTACTGCAAGCATTGCATAGAGTGATATGCTGATTACGGAGGGTCCAGGTTGATTGTTTCATAACGCCGGGGTACTTAACAGGAAAAGTTGGGAACCCTTGGTTTAGCTAGAAGAAGATCGTAAGCTCCATCACACCAACCTATATAAATATAAAAAGGAAAGTACGGTGGTTCATACGAATGAAGGCTTCCCACCAGGTCTGCGTATTCGTAACAGCTAAGAGCTAATAAGATTCCAGTAATTTGAATTGGCACTGCAAATAAATAAATTGTGCAGTCAATATTTGGTTTGACGAAAAACTTTTAAAGAAGTGGAAGGCGTGATCGGAATTGGCAATACGAATAGGTTGAAACCAACTTGTGTAATAATTGACTTAACTAGCAATACAAAAATTAAGCCAAGTAGCTTTAAATTGCTTATAAAGCTTGATAAAAAGTCCCCAATACTAAACTTCCAATAGGCGTTGCAAATTCCGCATTCCGCAAAAAAAGCAATATTAGATGAAAATGTAAGAAAATCGAAGTAAGGGAATTTCTGACACCCATGTGTTTTGAACGTCATAGCTGGGCGTTGTGTCCCGATGATCTATCTATACATAAAATTTAAATATAAAACAATCGTTTCAACAATATACGGCAGCGGGCGGAAATGAATAAACAACGCGGTTAAAGATTCTTTGGTCACAAATCAGGCACGTTAACATTGGATATTTACCCTCGCGCATCTTCAACTAACTAATTTAACTTCATGTGAAAATTTCTACATCTAACCTTCCCTACTCTAAAGCAAGTAGCTCCAGGGCTGGTGAATTGTTTTCGCGGACTTCATCCAACCCGCAGATTGCAATTTATCGAATCCCAAAATACATTTATATTAACCCTTAATCACAAGCTATGTCTCGGATTGGCAAATTATAGGTGGGCAGCTCCCTGAGAGTTAAAAGCTAAGAACTGTACTATGACTAAAATTGCATCTAGTACATGTTTAGTTTTGTATTTCCTCTCTGTGCTTTTTATATAAAACAAAATGAAAACACGATTTTCAAGTTTTTATATATTATGAATAATATATTTATCTATCTTATACACTGATAAAGTTATTTTACTAAATTATATGTTGCACGTTTAATAACAATTTTATAGGAAATTATAATATACATTATTAGTAATTTTAATAGATAATAAATGATTTGTTGAGGAATTGTTTTTTCTTCTTGCTTTTATTTTCTCTCGTCATCATCCTTCGTAGTAGTTTGCATCTTTGTCTAAAATATGCAGACTTGTTTAAAAATGTTCTTTCAATTTAGTTACAATATTGAATTTTATACCATCACTGCTCTGAATTCAAGACATTGGTCCAAGAGCGGAAAATTTTACAAGAAAATCGTAGCCCTGTTCTTGCGTTTTTTATTTTTTACCTCACCATTTTTTTATGATACTCAATAAACCAACTTTAACTTTAAAAACATGTACTCAGTCGGGGAACTTTCAAAAAGCGTACTATACTTACAAAAATGCGTATTTCTAGCAAATTATTTTGTATCAAATAATCCATTCGGGCGTTTATTTTGATAAATCTAAACAAATGATGGACGCTAGATCCTTCCAGTCACTTCTTTCCGGTTTTTTATTGGCCTTTTATTTTTATAAAATATTACATAATGTTCATACTTCGTCGGCATAGGAAATATTAAACCGTGATATGGCTGTAGCAAAAACTACCTTTAGGTTTCTCTATAAGCGGTTTGGGTTAAGGTTTTTGAAGAAAAAGCAAAAATCATATTCATTCAAATATATTTATACGAAATGGTTATTTTATTCAGATTGTTGTATATTTATCATTTAACATTGCGGTCTTAACAGTTAATTTGTCTATAAATTGTGTCATGATAAAATGAAAAATTGATGCTATAAGATTGTACAGTATATCACAATATTTATAATAACAATATAAAATAAATAAAGGATTGTAATATAATAGTAATGGTAAAATTAGAAAAAAATACATTTTTATCTGATAAATAGTCTTGTATATCTGTAACAGTTTTGCCATCTGAAATGCTTAGATCTTGAAAATTCTTTGTAGTTTCATCAAGACTCGCTAATTCTTCATCACAGACTTCCTGAAATAATATTAGAATGATATTGGTATTAGTGAATAATAGAACCTAGGCGTTTATTCAATTTCAATATTTAATTCAATGTATGTATTAATATTTTCGATATATTCCATATATCATTAATTGAAACTAATGAATATAAAAATGTGAATCACAATTTTTCAAATTCTTTTTTATTACCGACTGATTTGTTATTAATAGAATTCTCAATTTGACATAGTGTACCTTCGTCCTGGAAAGTATAAATTTTATTTTAAAATATTCGCGATGCAAATTTCCTAAGTCAAACACCCATTTCTGATAGTAAATTTATTTGTGTTTTGTTGCGCATTCTAAGAAATTCTGCAATAAGGTGTATAGAAGTTCATTTGCGCTAAAAATTATTTTGCTTTGTAGCATATACCTTAAAATGATAAAGTTAAGATAACCCCTCAATTTTTTTATTTCATCTTTGTTTATATATATATTTATATTATACTGCAAAAATTAAAATATTCAACCCTGAGACAGTCGGTATGCTCATATGAGCGTCTCCTGTGTATTTACGCAAGCCGCGGGTATCCTACTGGTAATATCGCTTTTGGCTATTTATTGACCTAATTCCTAGATGTTAGAGAAGCCATAAATGCTTCCAGCCGTGACGCAAAGTGCGAATCGTATAAACCGCGTCGATTTCAAAATCGCCAGTCAGACGTGGGAAATTGTTAACACGGCTCAGACAGGAAATCAATAACGTTAACTCCTTTATAATGACTTATTATTGGTTCATGTATTTTCAGTCATACATACCATCCTGGCGCTGTGATGTTTTGATTAATATGATTTCGACTGCACCATACTTGGCAGAGGTATCGAGATTTTTAAACGTGAAAAAAACGTAAAATTAATGGTAATTTTCACGCGTAACGGCGCGTATTGGATTGTTTATGTCTTTCTACGCGCATTTCCGTCAAAAAAAGTTGTTTCCTCTGTTTCTACTATGTTTCCTGAAGAAATGAACGCTCTATGATGAGTACCTGAAAAGCCAATCAAAATTAAATTTGTATACTTACTTTTGAGACACCCTGTACAAACTGCTTTTCTAAACTTTGTTAATTAATAAAAATAAAATTATTTTTGAATTAAAAATACTCCTATTATTATTTAACATACCAATCACAAAAACAAATACTAAATAAAACTAAAATTAAATAAAAGACTCCAATACGTTAGTAAAGGTCAAATTTTTTTAAACAGAATGATTAGTTATTAACTGAATATTGACTCGACCTGGCCGTTCTAGGATAACATAAAAATTTTAAATTTAATATAAAGAAATATTGTTCCTTACTTTAAGCTTTCTTAAAGAGTATCAATATTCATTCAATTTTTTTTTACTCAGAATGGTTAGATATTTGCAGAATGCAAAACTACTTCTGATATTGACTCGTCCTGATCGTTCTAGGATACCAAATATTATGAATTTAATATACAGTAATATTGTTTCCTCCTTTGAGCTCTTTTAAAAAGTAGCATTTATCAAATATATTTACACAGAATGATTAATTGATATAGATGGCTGATTATTCCGCATTTAACAGGGCATCACAAGAATTTAATTTAGATAGCATTTATGTATTAAATTGAAATACTATATTATTTAGCAAAACTATAATAAGGTGTATAACAATAGAAATGAAACTAAAATCGAATAAAAGTCTCCAATACGTTAGCAAATAGTAAAACAAAATACTTTTTTATCCAATAGATCGTCTTGATTTCCTTTCACTGATTCGCCATCTGCAATGCTCTGATTTTCAAAACTTGGAAATTTTGCATTAGTTTCAAGTTGCTCATCTCCATCTTCGCAACCTCCCTAAAATGATATTGGTTAGTTAAAGATTAATTCTCGGCGATTGGCGTATGGGCATTGTCATTATTTGATTGAATATATACGACCTTTCTCAATTCTTCAAATTTATTGATTCCCTCTCCAGACCCTGTTATTATATTGTCTGATTGGTTATTAACTGAATGCACAATTACGCCTGATATTGACTCGTCCTGGCCGTTCTAGGATAACAAATATTATGTATTTAAAGTGAAAAGTGTCAATTTTCTAAGCTTTGATAGTTAAAATAGAATATTTCTGAAATAAATATTCTTGTATATATAATATAATTGCTAGAGAGTTTTCTAACTTGTATATTACAAATATGTGAAAATTTCAACAGTTTTCATAAATAGTTGTTTTTGCTAACTACACCACAGATTTTAAACAATACCAATGCATTCTCATTCATTTCTTTAGCTTTCTCAACGCTGTTGTCAGGTTTTTTATGACTATCGTCTGAGTTCTGGCTGTTGGCATTTTCACAAGGTTCAATTTCTTGAATTATCGATCCGGCCTGATCGTCCAGTATGCAATGCAAAAAAGAATGAAATAATGTTTCCCACTTTGTGCTTTTCTGAAAGTAGCATTATCCATTCAAAGATTATTACCCAAAGATTAATTGTCGGCGATTGGCGTATGGGAATTTTCCTTATTTGATTAAATTTAAAGTACCTTTGTCAATGTATTCAAGTCTTCAAATTTCTTGATTTCCCATTCAGACTCTGGTATTTCATTGACTGATTGGTTATTAATTAAATGCACAATTACGTTTGATATTGACTCGTCGTGGCCGTCCTAGGATAACAAATATTATGCATTAATTATAAAAACTGTTAAATTTCTTAGCTCTGTTAGTCAAAATAAAATATTACTCAAATTTATATTCTTGAATATATAATATAATTGCTAGTGAGTTTTCTAACTTGTGTATTGCAAATATGAGCAAATTCAAACAGTTTTATTAATTGTTGTCTTTGCTTACTGTACCCCAGATAAATTTCAGACAATACCATGTAATTCTCATTCATTTCTTCAGCTTTTTCAACGGTGTTGCCAGGTTCTGTATGACTATCGTCTGCATTCTGGTTGTTGGCATTGTCAGAAGCTTCAATTTCAGGAATTATTGTCTCGGCCGGATCGTCCTGAATGCAATGCAAAAAAAAGTAATAATGTTTCCCAATTTAAGCTTTTTTAAAAGTATAAAATATTTTTACACAGAATGGTTAGTTAATTTAATTGCTAAATATTCGTCCTTTAACAGAGCAATCACAATAATTCAATTTAGATAGTATTTGAGTATTAATTTGAAATATTATATTATTAAGAAAAACTTTATTATTGCGCACTACAAGATAAATAAAACTAAATTAGATAAAAGAATCAAATACGTTAGAAAAAAGTAAAAAAAATACCTTTTTATCCGATAGATCGTTTTGATTTTCTTTCACTGATTCGCCATCAGCAGAGCTTTGATTTTCAAAACTTTGAATTTCTGCATTATTTTCAAGATTCTCTTTTCCATATTCGCAGCCTCGCTAAAATGATATTGGTTAGCCAAAGATTAATTCTCGTCGATTGGCGAATGGGCATTTTCATTATTTGAATAAATTTATAGTACATTGGTCAATGTATTCTAGTCTTCAAATTTCCTGATTCCCTCTCCAGACTCTGGTATTTCATTGACTGATTGGTTATTAACTGAATACACAATTACGCCTGATATTGACTAGTCCCTACCGTTCTAGGATAACAAATATTACGAATTTAATATAAAAATTGTCCAATTTCAATGCTTTGTTAGTCAAAATAGAATATTTCAGAACTAAATTTTCTTTTATATTTTAATTTAATTGCCAGAGAGTTTTTTAACTTGTATATTACGAATATGAGACAATTCGAGCTGTTTTATGAATCATTGTTTCTGCTTACTATACACAGATAAATTGTAGATAATACCTTGTAATTCTCATTCATTCCTGTAGCTTTTTCAACTCTGTTGTCAGCTTTAGTATGTCTATCGTCTGAATGCTTGTTGGCATTTTCAGAAGATACAATGTCATGAATTTTTGACTCGACTTGGTCGTCCTGAATGCAATGCAAAAAGAAAACAAATATTGTTTTCCTCTTATTGCTTTATCATAAGTAGCATTATCCATTCAAATATTTTTACACAGAGTGATTAGTTTATTTAATTGCTAAATATTCGTCCTTTAACAGAGCAATCACAATAATTCAATTTAGATAGTATTTGAGTATTAATTTGAAATATTATATTATTAAGAAAAACTTTATTATTGCGCACTACAAGATAAATAAAACTAAATTAGATAAAAGAATCAAATACGTTAGAAAAAAGTAAAAAAAATACCTTTTTATCCGATAGATCGTTTTGATTTTCTTTCACTGATTCGCCATCAGCAGAGCTTTGATTTTCAAAACTTTGAATTTCTGCATTATTTTCAAGATTCTCTTTTCCATATTCGCAGACTCCCTAAAATGATATTGGTTAGCCAAAGATTAATTCTCGTCGATTGGCGAATGGGCATTTTCATTATTTGAATAATTTTATAGTACATTGGTCAATGTATTCTAGTCTTCAAATTTCCTGATTCCCTCTCCAGACTCTGGTATTTCATTGACTGATTGGTTATTAACTGAATACACAATTACGCCTGATATTGACTAGTCCCTACCGTTCTAGGATAACAAATATTACGAATTTAATATAAAAATTGTCCAATTTCAATGCTTTGTTAGTCAAAATAGAATATTTCAGAACTAAATTTTCTTTTATATTTTAATTTAATTGCCAGAGAGTTTTTTAACTTGTATATTACGAATATGAGACAATTCGAGCTGTTTTATGAATCATTGTTTCTGCTTACTATACACAGATAAATTGTAGATAATACCTTGTAATTCTCATTCATTCCTGTAGCTTTTTCAACTCTGTTGTCAGCTTTAGTATGTCTATCGTCTGAATGCTTGTTGGCATTTTCAGAAGATACAATGTCATGAATTTTTGACTCGACTTGGTCGTCCTGAATGCAATGCAAAAAGAAAACAAATATTGTTTTCCTCTTATTGCTTTATCATAAGTAGCATTATCCATTCAAATATTTTTACACAGAGTGATTAGTTTATTTAATTGCTAAATATTCGTCCTTTAACAGAGCAATCACAATAATTCAATTTAGATAGTATTTGAGTATTAATTTGAAATATTATATTATTAAGAAAAACTTTATTATTGCGCACTACAAGATAAATAAAACTAAATTAGATAAAAGAATCAAATACGTTAGAAAAAAGTAAAAAAAATACCTTTTTATCCGATAGATCGTTTTGATTTTCTTTCACTGATTCGCCATCAGCAGAGCTTTGATTTTCAAAACTTTGAATTTCTGCATTATTTTCAAGATTCTCTTTTCCATATTCGCAGACTCCCTAAAATGATATTGGTTAGCCAAAGATTAATTCTCGTCGATTGGCGAATGGGCATTTTCATTATTTGAATAAATTTATAGTACATTGGTCAATGTATTCAAGTCTTCAAATTTCCTGATTCCCTCCCCAGACTCTGGTATTTCATTGACTGATTGGTTATTAACTGAATACACAATT